TATATATATATATATATCACCCGTACCAAGGTGACACTGGATGCAAGCGCAGCAGAACTCGTGCAGCTTTCTGCTGCGCCCCTTGTTTTCCTGATTTGACTTGCTGCACTGGCGCTTGCATAAACAGGTCACGAGGAAAGTAGGTCACCGTGCACGAGGCAGTGGAAGAGAGGGAAAGGAGAACTCAAGTGTAGCATTTGATACGGGGAATAGATTGAAAGGCCACGGCTCTGTTCCTGCTGCTTTGTTTCTGACACGATGATGCTTTTGCCAAACAGAGCAGAAACGGGATTCTTGTGTTACCTGGTTCCTCCACGCAGCCTGGGGATAAAGGGTTAGTGGGCCAGGAGAATAGGCGGGAATGAGAGAACAGAACAGACTGGAGCCGGGAAACCCTTCGAACTGTATTAGAAAAAAAATCTGGTTTGTGTCCAAAATGACACACAAGATGCTTGCTTTTTGTTTTATTTTATTTTGTTTATTTTTTTGGTCATAAGATGGCTAAAAAGTCAGATCAGATTCAGGTTAGATGACATAATTCCTTCTCACTGTAAATCCATCTGCAATCCCAAAACTCCCTTTGTTTCATCTGTTATTTCAGATAGTCACGATGACTCTGAATAAATGATGTGAAGCATGATTTATCAGCAACATTCTAAAGACCTGAATGGGTGCCTGCACACATGCAAATAAATGAAACAAAGGATTCTGCCATGGAAATAACCCATAAATACAACTGAAAGGGATTATTTCCTAACACTCCTCACAATTTAGCTTACAATTATAGGATAACTATTGAATTGACATTGAGTTTCCTTAAAAAAAGGACCATTAAAACAACAGAAGGAAACATTGTTCATTCAATGAAAAACACAGATATTATTCCTGGAAAAAGATCTCATTACTCAAGGCCAGATAAATAAGTTAATGAAGACCTTGTGGATTTAACTTACAGCTTGAGGCCCACTGTTAGCCTTATCTCATGTTATAGAGTGTCAGAGGGAATGTTGCCTAATGAGAAGGTGTTGAAACACAACAGTAAGAACTTAATAAATGTAATTATTTTATGCTTTAGAGCAAATGCATGTGGTTAGAAGTTTACATTTATGCATCATGGGCATAGTTATCACATCAGTATCAGATTTTTAAATTTGCTATTATTTTTTTTTGGGGTGAAAGGTCCGTTTCACTAATAATGACGTTGTCCATGGTGTACATTAAAACAGTTCAATAAAAGAACAAGTAAGAACATGAAACTGCAACTATCAGTTTCAGTATGAAGAACCTAGCTGTTGATGACTACTAGCCTCTGTAAACCATTTTATGACCCGAGGAGTAAACCTCATGAGTACCACTCAAAATTTATTTGGTAGAAGTGGTCTTGAAACAAATAGGTCACATGTGGGGTCGTATTCTGATAACATTTGTGGTAGGAGTGGGCGATACTGGGAATTTGATATTGATCCACAACCAAGCAAATACAGGGCTAGTATTGCTGATACGATACTTGTCATGTTCATTGAATAAGCTTGTGATTTTGCCTTTTTTCCTATTATTTCACACACAACAGGTGTTTATCCAAATATGATAAAACACAGGACAAAGATTTTAGGCACATACAAATGTTTGTAGCTACTGAAATAACAAAAGAAAGCTCCAGCATAAACAAGGTTTTAACAAAGAGGTCACTTCTGAGCTTGACCTTTGACCCCGTGACACTGAAATCAATAAGGATCAATCTTCACCCATGAGGTATCCAGATGTGCAGACGTGTATTTTCAAGCGTTAGCAATACAGAGCTTGGACAAGAAGACAGATCACAGACAGATAGATGGTGTCGAACTATAATCTGTCCTGTTTTAAGATGCACAAACAT